CTTTCTAAGGAGAGTGATCACTCCACTCACTCAGCCAAGGGTGAGTAAGAATTACAGAGATCATTAAAGACATCACATACAGACTTTCTAAGGAGAGTGATCACTCCACTCACTCAGCCAAGGGTAAGTAATAATTACAGAGATTATTAAAGACATCATGTACAGACTTCACTTTCTAAGGAGAGTGATCACTCCACTCACTCAGCCAAGGGTAAATAAGAATTACAGAGATCATTAAAGACATCATGTACAGACTTCACTTTCTAAGGAGAGTGATCACTCCATTCACTCAGCCAAGGGTAAATAAGAATTACAGAGATCATTAAAGACATCACATACAGACTTTCTAAGGAGAGTGATCACTCCACTCACTCAGCCAAGGGTAAGTAAGAATTACAGAGATCATTAAAGACATCACATACAGACTTTCTAAGGAGAGTGATCACTCCACTCACTCAGCCAAGGGTAAGTAAGAATTACAGAGATCATTAAAGACATCACATACAGACTTTCTAAGGAGAGTGATCACTCCACTCACTCAGCCAAGGGTGAGTAAGAATTACAGAGATCATTAAAGACATCATGTACAGACTTTCTAAGGAGAGTGATCACTCCACTCGTATATCACTCACCCAAATTAAGACCCAGAAGAGCAAATTATGATTCTACCAATGCATATAATTTTGAAGAGATTTTAATAGTAATTCTCTCCTTGTGTTACTGTGTTCAGCTGAGCCATTTTAGCTCAAAACGTTGGACATGCACTTGTCACTGACAAGATCCTTTGATTCCCTCAATGGTGTCCTGATTTATAACAAAGCAGTTAAGACTGGACTGTTAATGTATATTGATTATCTTGTCTCATCAGAAACATCCCTCATGCTATCTGTGTGGAGAGACAGGTCACTCACGACAGAGATGTCCTAATGCATTGTGTTTCAACTGTCATCAACCGGGACATCAAATGAAAGACTGTACTGAGCGATGGAGAAGACTATCAGAAGAATGTTATCGATGTCAGCAAAGTGGTCATATTGGAAAGGTAAGTTAATGGTTGTGGATACCTAACATTAGTAAATTTGGTGTTTTCATATTGCACTCCAAGTCACATGTTGTGTAAATGTCACAAGTCACATGAAAATTAATAGCAACTCAACCATTTGTTTTTCATGACCATTCTTCGTGATCACTCATTAACTTGTAGCAATATGCATTAAGTATGTTATTGTAAAAATGATTTATTATTCATGGTATTTTGCAGGAATGTCCAGATATTTGGCGACAGTTACATTTAACTGTAAGTATTTCCTAATAAAACAAGCATGCAAGTTTCTAGTTGCCACTAAAAATGATGTTGGTCTCCAAATGCAGCATATGAATTGAGTTCTGTCTTTTTGTGTCATCCTCTGTGCATGGAGACCTTTTCCTTGTGCATGTGGACCTACCCTTTTTGCATGTCAACCATTTTTTTATTCATAATTCCAAGATCTCATGTTTCTCTGATTAAACTATAACTTCTGAAATAAATTGTGATATCCAGAATAGCTGACTTCAATTTGAATAATTAACAACATACCAAAGAATCATTGTAGAAAATCCATTCATACATATGTTATGTGTCAAATTTGTTGTCAAGATGGAGACGTAAGACATCACCATTAATGATATGTTAATTGCAGGTTAAGTATGGTTCTATGCAGCAAGCACCTTTAAACAAAAACAAAAATGTCTTTTGTTATAACTGTGGTAGAGCTGGACACTTTGGTCATGTGAGTATTTAATTAGAGTGTTAATTTCTGACCCAAGCCAAGACAGGAATCTTATTATGCATATATGTATATTTAGTGGTCACAAAACATAAAGCCCTTCAAATGAATCACAGCCTGGAAAAGGGTCAACTTATTTACTTAGTGTCCTTTCGTCCTTGCTTTAAAGTTGTTGAAAGGTCTTTCAATTTTACGTAACTTTAGGTGATTGCAAGATTTACAGTCTTGAATAAAAGCTGCCATATTGTTCCATTCATCAAATAAGTTATTATGTGTCTTCTCTACAATAATTACCGTCCTGTATTGTTATTCAAATTCTGCTTCAGATGCTTGGCAAACACATCTAACCTACGAAATACGTAATGTGTGATGTTGTACACAGTGGTAACAATACCAAATAGAATAGTCATTATTGATTAAAGAAATTCAAATATGAGAGACCCAATGACTATATAGGAAGAATCTGACTAATCGTAAGGTAGTTTGCTGTCATTAAAACAAATGATCAAATTTCTTTGAATTTCAAAGTATGATTTTATTCTATGTTGTTGTACACAAAACTAGAATGAAAATATATAGTCACCAAACTACTTTTTGGACGAGACATGTGTCAATTCACTACGTTCAATTACCACCATAGACTCCGGCCAGTCAAAATGACTATTTTGAACTGTAGGCATTAATCAGTGATTCTGCCAATGATGGAGAGATAGAATCTAGGTCAGAGGAAGCCCCATGACCCCAAGATTCTTTCCCTTACGTCACAAACCAAGTGACCGAGGCCATATGGCGGCGCCATTACGGCTGGCTATTCACTCTTTCTTTATCTCTGCATCGACGGGGGATGAAGTTTAGCGGCTCTGCCTGCATAGCCTGCCTTTTCCTGTCCGGGTTTCTGGCTTGGGTTGTTACTGGTAGGATAAGTTTTCCTTGTCATTTTTACCCTCGTGTCGATTTTCCCTTTAAATGTAGCATTTTTCACAACAAAGTAAATAAAACTCAGCGACTTAACTTAATCACTTGTTGGTTTTGTTGCGTCACCTTTTCCAAATGTATTTCGCTTCCCTCATGCATGTCATGTCCATTTTATGCTTTATCAATGTATTTAGAAATCGATAGATGTAATGACAGCACCAGATGCTTGCCGCCGGTTTTGTCTCCTCGTTTTTCGAGGCGACTGTGCAGTGGTTATAATCAGAATTTACCAGCATAGAACCCACATCTGAAATGCTATTTTTGCCGTGGCTGCGTGCGGGGTTCAGGGTTTTTGCCTTGAAGGCGTATGTTTTTCACTGGAGTTCTGAGGCCTGGGATGTTTTTCAGAGCCACACAAAATCACTGACACTGACTGCGTCGCTTGTATTTTCACAGCAAGGTCGCGCGTCCAGTAAAAATCGGTTAAAGTCTGTTACAGTCTGTTTTCAGGCAGTGGTTTACCGGATTTGCGGTAGCAAGTAAGGCTAACACAGGATTTACTTCACCATCCCTACCCAAAGCAACAGTTGGTGTTCCTGGGCATGGAGTTTGGCACAGAGGTAGGCTTGGTATAGCTATTTCAAGCGGGTTGCTTGGCGCTATACAGCCTAGCAAAACGCCTAGTCAGCGTTCCCTCAGTGTGCCTCCGAGAACTAATGCTTATCATCGAAATGATGATCTTGGTTCAAAGGGTAGTTCCCCAGGCCGCATTACGCAGCTGCCCGGTACAACCCCGTACAAAGGAACTGCCCAACTGGGATTTCTCGATTGTGTGGTCTGCTCTAAGCAGACCACCCCTTTGAGCCTCCCTACTGACCCTCTCCTCAGGTAGGCATCTGTCAGAACTGGGGGCATTGGGGTATTGTCCTTCTCAGACGATGTACATGTACCGCCTTTATGAACAATCAAGTTGTGCTAAAGACACGAATCGGGTTTCTCGCCAAATACCAGGACATAATCCTCACCCGATCGTCATCCCCGGCTGTCATATTTTGTCGGGCCGGAGGGTCAGGCGGAATTGCTTCTCTGCCCGGTTCGAGCATGGAGTTGCTACCAAAATCGTACTGGGGATTCAAGACAGGGTGCCAAGCACATGTCTTTGTGTTATGGCCCAGGCAGACAGGATAGGCCGGCCTCCCTGACTTCCATCACAAGGTGGAAAACTGCGACTGTATTAGAGATCTATAATACTTTAACTTCCTCGACACAGAGCTTGCAGAGACACCAAGTACGAGCACATGAGGTCCGTGCGATTGCTAACTCACTAGTGCTAGCGTCAAGCGCCCCCTTGAGCATTTTCTGAAGGCAGGCTTCCGGAGAATGCAAACGTCTTTATAAACTACTACCTAAGAGACCCAGCCCGAAGAACCACAAGGGTCCCTGCATATAGGCAATAAGTAGGTCTCAGCATTTTTGTGGACAGATTTCTCTACCATCAGCACTCCTTGGAAGTTTCGAGGTCTCGCTTTTCGGCCTATGTCCTCACGCAGAACTGTTTCGGTCTTTACTTCAAAAGCATACTACTTTTGGGGGTCTTAGCGAGGTGATAAGTGGTGTAGAGTGTATCATCCTTGACTGGGAAAAGACTTTCATCAGTTTCTGTTTGCTCATAAAACCTGCCCCCTATCAGCATCTGACTCTACAGTTTAAAATAGTCATTTTGACTGACCGGAGTCTATGGCGGGTAATTGAACGTAGTGAATTTAGGCAG